TACTTTATAATATTACTTATTGTGTTTGTGTATTGTCAATTTGAATTTTAAATATTGTGTTTTTTATAATGAATTGAACGATTTTACGTGTAATATTTATTAAACTATATTGTGTCGTTTTGTGTTCTGTTTCTTGTATGGTCAATATACAGGTTTAACTAATGTATTTCTAAATTTTTATTTAATAAATTTGTGATTTTCGGTTACTGTATTATGTCACAAATATAATCACACACCAAACAATTTGCTGAGCTTATTATTAATTTACTGTCAAACGTTTTCAGCCTACTTCCAATAGGCCATCTTCAAGGCATTACCGTTCTACAGTCGAATACGAACATTCGAATAAATTTTAAATTTAAACTTATAACATATTTTTAAAAATCTTTACAATAAACTGTAAACTATTAAATACTTAACTAAAAAAATTTTTTTATCATACTGTATAATAAATATAAAATTAATATAACAAGAAATATACATTAAACTAGTAAAATATACGTTCCATAAGTTTACGGGTTTTTAATTCTCATTTCCTTTTCTAACAAGTATTTCCATGCCGTCGGAAGAGCATTAGCATCCTTTGCTTTTAAGGAATTGTTATTTATTTTACTCTTATATATCTGCATTTTTTCTATGCCAAACGCAATAGTCGGAGAATGGACCGGTCTAACTATCCTTGCATCATCCCACTTCACATTTGCTCCATCTGATTGTGCCATGATTGCCAAGATGATGATGTTGTTTACTAACGTCATACATGTGCTCCTTTAAACGAACCGCCAGGTTTCTCGTGGTAACACCCATATAAACTTTTGCCCCTTTTAATTGTTGATTTTCAAAGGGAATTCTATAAACACCAGCGTTTTCCTTCATTCCTATCTTGTCCTTATCATTCCTTAGCGATTTGTAAATGTTTGGCGCTCGTTTATAAACAGTTCTTGTGCTCTTATATTTACATAATTCTTCCATTATTCCTTCTACATTCCTGTTGTATGTAAACTTATTAAATCTATTTTTTAGCTTATCCCGTTTGTTTGTCTCTTGTTTGCAAAAGATTATGTGAGTGTCACCACGAGAAACCTGGTATGTTAAAAAAAATATGTTAAAAGTTTAAATTTAAAATTTATTCGAATGTTCGTATTCGACTGTAGAACGGTAATGCCTTGAAGATGGCCTATTGGAAGTAGGCTGAAAACGTTTGACAGTAAATTAATAATAAGCTCAGCAAATTGTTTGGTGTGTGATTATATTTGTAAGTAAACTGCTGAGGAAGTGAGTGTAGTGTTACGTCACATTAAATAAGTGTCTTCTCACATGACCTATGCGATAGATGTAAGGACAACGGAATAGAAAAGACATTTAAATGAGTAGTGTCGATATGTTTACGGTGGAAAATTTTACACAAAGGTGGACAATTGTAAAAAAGATTAATAAAATCTATTTTTACTTTATATTTGTGTAAAGTTTGTAATGTATCCGCTTCACTATTTTGCAGAATTTCTAACCAAATCTATCATTCCTTTGATACTGCATTAACACCCAGTGCCTATGCTCGTTATGATGTAACAACGCGAATTTGTAGAAAGATTCACGAACACATTTTCTAATTGGTATCATTGACGAATTACTACGTAATAGACGTCAAAATAGTTTTCGGTCTAACTATGTTTTAGACATAATAGGAATAATATAATAACAGTGCCATTTTGCTCCATTTGTATGTGGACTAATAAAACAGTTTTTCACGCGAAATCTCTATAAATCGCATAAAAACATTGATTTTAGTTAGAATTGTTGCATACATTTGCATCTTATTCACGTCTTGCAGGACAATGTGCTAGTGTAAACGGCTGCTATTACCAAAGTGTACGTTTGAGGAGCTTGACCATCCACTTAATATCCGCTTGAGCATGATACTAGAATTTACGATTTTTATAAACTTAAATACATATTTTTTTTATAAGAATTTACCATAATTACATATAATATATGTATATACTGTTGTCTGTACAAATACAAGTATAAAAGTACAAAACAAAACTTAAAAATAACGCTTTCATTTAAAGAGGGAACAACCCTAGTATATAATTCAATATAATTATTACATCGTATAGATGCAAACAGAGTGAAAATTATGTACGATTTGAATAAAAAGAATTGAAATACTTTTAAATATATCAAATTTGCATACCGTCAGAATTTCATTTCTGTGAGAATTAGTTGAATTTTACGGAACAGATATATAAAGCGGGCAAATTTCTCCTTCTTCTGAAAAGCGATTGCCTAGTAACGATGTTTGCTTTTATTACATCAATATATTTGCTAATGTCCTTGATTTATCAGATAAATCAGCCTTTTAATGAAGATGGTAATTTAAAATTTTTCCATTATCTTCCAATTATATAATATTTATTCAATTAATTAATCAATATTCCAAATATACTTTCGAGTTTATATGCACGTACAGCTTACAAGTACTGTACTTACTAAAATTATTTTAAGAGGAAAATTCTTGAAAAATTACTCATTTTCCTCTTCAATTCATTCGATCAGCACTCATTAAATTTTATATTTCTACTTTATTAAATGGAATAAAATTTTCCGTTATGTTTTAAGACATGTAATATAAAACAGGTAAGCCATTAAAATGATAAATTAAAAATGTATTGGATAAATTGAAAAAATAGGAATTATGAGTGCAGCATATGTACAGCAAAACAACCCAATTCAGAACTGTTGTTTGTGTATTATCTATTGACTAATTTTTAGTATACAATAATTATTGTGCAACTTTCTGTACGGGAAAGATTAATTATTATGTATTAAACTAATAACTACTTTATAGTTGTTACTTTAATACATAATAATTAATCAACAGTGTAGTTTCATAATTATTTCTATGCACATATGTGAGAATTCGAATTTTAACAAAAATCGGTCGTCGATGTCGTCATACTCGTTTGATAATTGTTGTCATCTTCTACCCGAGAAAATTTTGACTTACACTTTCTAAACCCGTAATCTGCTGACCTCTTGGCCGGGCGAAATCGGGCTGGTATCGTAATTGATGGCCGAAGAGGCAGTCGTCGCCAGTTTTTCAACCGATACTGTGCTCCGAAACGACTCGGACCCGAAACTTTTGTGCCTCCGAATCGGAATAACTTTGTCCTCCAACCCCTAAATAATTCTAGATTTCATCAACTTCAAATCTTTTCTGGGAACGACCCTTCAGTCCCACGTATCTTTCTTTTATCCATAATTTTTTGAAAGATGTTTTTGAAATCTTCCACACGAATGCGTATGTCTTGGCAGCTATGAAGTTAACGCTACTTCTTAGGGTAAGCTTAAATTTTAATTTTTTTTTACTAATATACCAATGTTATGAGAAATTTTCGTAATTCTACTAATGCACATTTGATTTTCAATTTATATCTAATTTAAACCTACAATCATAAATACAAAACATTAATTATTATGATGTACTGTACAATGCTGGGCTACAATTTTTAATCATAATTTAATTTATTTAATTTAAAATAATGCTCTCTACATCAAATTAGTAATAGCTTGCCCGTATTCANGATCTTTAAACACCAAAATTTTATATCATCTATCCCAGAAATGAACAAACCTTACATGCAAAATTTGATAAATTTTTGACAAAAAGCACAGGAGGTATAAAGCTTCAAACATGGATGAACAAAATCTTGCCTGCACACACACACACACACATACACATACTAACATTTATACATACTGAATTCACCCCCGAACTTTTTTCATTTCTTGACGTTTCAAGATGTCTTAATTTCCAAGTGTAAAAATATGGGGATGTCATTTTTTTGCAGGATCGCCATACTTTCCTTCTATTATGATATCCAGGAAAGTAATAGAAATATCAAGTGACTGCGTATTGCTATAACTTTTCCTCTATTAATTAATACGATCCTTATGTTTTAAAAATAGAGTATTTATAAAATAATATTCCATTATTTAAACTTCTCGGCATGTTATTAATCAATCAAAGTCGCAGAAAAGCATCGTTCATTTAGCACTTACGAAAGACAATGGCTGTAGGCCACATGTAGTGTTTAGCCGGCAGAATAAAGTGAGAGAAGGAAATAAGAAGGATGAGACAATTCCGGTAAGAAAAAGAAGAAGAAAAATCTCTCTGAGTGGCACATTTACTACTCCCACTACGATTAATGTCGTCATGCAGTTTTTAGGCTTCGAGATCGTGCGTCTAAAAGAAATTCCGAGTTGTAGCATACACAAATAAGTAGTGCACTTACATATGAGCTAGACAGATCATAGATTAATTCTTTGATTTAGTAACCCACTGAGGGACTTACAAACTTCTTGAAGACTAAAGCAATTATTGTTTCGCTTTCTATTATTAATTAATTGCAAATTAATACATTTGTGAACTCTAATTGAGATTGCTTTCAGCAAATTTACTAATTGATTACAAATTTATTAATTGAATTTATTTATTTTTATTAATTAAATAATTGATTACAAATTTACGTTTATTGATTTTATTGAACGTTTCTTAGATTAGACAGAAAATATATTTATTTATTCAATAAAGTAATATCCCAAAGATCCACTTTAACTATTTACACTACAGAAACTAATCACGAACATTTTTGAATTAAAATTCTTTAGAAGATTGATCAATTAATTGATGCAAATATCATTTTCTTGTAAAAATGCTATTAAAACTTTAATTTCATATCGTGATCAATCGTTTATAATCAATGACAAGTATATTACGTAAGAGCCCTCGATTGTCAGAAATAGGAGACTATTTTTCGTGCATTAGCCAATTAATATGTAAACTCTACTAATTTTAAGAAATATCGCATTCAATCAGTAAGTAAAATTAATATATATGATTATATGTGTGTATATTTATTTACTTTATACATGAATACAATTTTATTATTATATAACTGAAAAATTACAAACCACAGTTTGCAAATTTCCCCATGTATCCTGTGTTGAAAGTGTACAACAAATCAAAAAGTAACAAATAGGAATTGTTTACAAACAATTACAGCTAGGAAAAATGTGAAATATGTAGAAAATTTATGTAAACTTGATAAGTGCAATAGCTTTATTGGTTGTTCGTTCGCTTACAGTATTCAGCTTGCATACATATAGGAATACATACGCCTAAACAATGATGTTTGTATTTTCAGAGATTTTTTTAAATGTACAGTATTTCTTTTCAAAAATCAGCTAAGATATTTGCTCTTAATATAAAAGTACAGTAGAATTCGTTCCAGGATTTGGTACAATTATGCTAAGTAGGCTATCATAAAACAAACAATACTTAATATATTGACAATCCCTGCACTACTCATTACCAGACGTGCTTAGCAAATAATCTTAATGATTGTCAAATAAACCACTTACCGTTAAACCGTTACTTCAAACACAGACGTTGGCAAACATTTCCACAATCAGTATGCACGAAATGATACAGAATTAGGTTATTGCATATGTATGGTCAACCTTGAAGCATGTAGCTGAAAGTTAGAATTGCCACGAGAATACTTCATAATAGTTATAGTTAATGCAGGTCCATTATATTCTCGAACCATATGCTTACTGCAACACGAAGGAAAACATTCCACCATAAGGTGGTGAAGCACGCAGTGAGTAAATGGTCATTATACATTATACATATGCATTGTATTGTCATTGATGATTTCCTCTGAAAAACTGACTTTACTAAATCTATCGTAAATCTGATTTACATTTAGAAACATTATATTATAAGATTATTTCATATTTTTCAGATTAATTCAGGAGATTCATCAAAAACCATGAAAGATCCCACATTTTGTATCAATTGTTATCTACAGCCATTCACGTATATATTAAAGAGGTTCGGTATAAATATTTTACCTTCGTGCCAGGAAATAAACGGTGGCACTAACAATTGCCAACGACTGTATTATACGTTTCTTCTAGTAATATGGGTTTTACTTTACTTTTGGGGAATTTTTATTTCTCTGGTTGACGAACAAACAAGTATCCAATATTGCGGGGGAATTGTCTATAATATAAGAGATAGTTATAGTACAATCATTTTGAGTAAATGTTTATTATTAGAGATACTTTCGTCACTGGTAATTTGCTTAGTGAAAATTTATTTTCAAAAATATTCAAAAAGTCAGACATTCGAATATAATTATAAAGGCGAGATAAAAAACTTGTTGAAGATAAGAAAATGGGTTCAAAGATTCGTAGTAATTTTCTTTGTCTCTGGAGTCGTAATAATATCAATTGTGGTTGATGTTTTTATTCGATACATTCCCATTCCCGAAAATCGATTAATCATTTGTTCAGTTTTATATACATTTTTTTATACATGGTGTTTTGGGGTCTTGTTATATTTTATTGCTGTTATATTTCTCATGATATACTTTATTAAATTAAAATTTGAGAACATCTGTCAAGCTTGTTCGGAGTTTAGAATTAATCTAGAAAGAATTGAAAATGTCCTAATAATCGAAGAAAGGAAATTTGTTGAATTATGCGAAATTATCAAAGAATTAGATGATGAATTTTCGTACGTACTTTCGATTGCAGGCTTTAGCATGACAAAATCTGTAGCTTGTTGTTTGTATTATATAATGTTTGCTCCACCCATTGATAAAATCTTTTTTGCATTATTCGCATTGGTACTTACAATATCGTATATGACTGTTGGTGTGACTGTTGCCGACATTCCAGTAAAGGTAAGCAAAATTTTTAGTGTTTTATTATAATTGGTAAAAATAGTATTAAACATTAATTTTGTATAATCTACTTATATTAATCTCCGTAAATTGTAATAATATTTTTTTTTGTGTAATCTATACTTATCTTCTTAATCTTCTTGTCATCTGATCCTATACAGGAATAGCGTTTTTTTATAGATGCATTTATCACATCTAGTGATGATAGAACACACTTGACATATCGTTATTAATTTACTAGTAAGTAGTAGGGGATTTCCCGTGTATATCATACGTTACCTCTGAGCAATAGAGTCGTGCTTGTCATCTATCTGACCCTTTTTTCAGGGAATAATATTTGAATTGAAATAAGGTGACACATGTAGCACATATGCACAACTGCATCAGAAGAAACAATGTTATTCTCCTGTTCTAGAAAGTTATTCTTGAAATATTTTATTTAATTATTTAAATTAATAAAACAAAATATTAAAATTTTATTTTCAGGCTTCAGCTCCTATAGAACAATTACGCATTTTAAGTATTTACGAACTGGACGTTATTCACAAGTGGAAGGTAAAGTGTCTATCGATTTAAGAGGTTTTCATTGTTGAAATTTAGATAATGATTTAACACATAGTCTAAATCAAATAGACACATATACATTAGCTACATTATAAATATAAAATATACAAAATAATTTATAATTTCAAATGTTTACTTATAAACATTTGGTTAAAAAAACATTGCAATTTACTTTGTTTCTGTCTTCCAGGTTGTAACTTTCGTAAAATGGATGAATGTAGATCGCGTGGGCTTTCATTATTTTGGAACAATTCTCGTCACCAAATCCTATGTTATTGAGGTAATGTCACATAAATAAGAAAGTAATTCGATATTTTAACGTAAAAATCTTAACCTGCACTACAGTAAGCATTAATTGAATTATATTGAATTCATTAATCATCAAGCCCTAACAGTAGATCATCACATATATAATATCAGTAATCAGAATTATACGTGAAGATCGTACTCATTCCATTAGGTGTTGACCAATCCATACATGAACATGAGAACGAACTTCATCTGTATTTCTAATTACTGGATTACCTGTCAATAACTACTATTAATTACACAGAAACATGACGTAACATATATGTAAAAATTTCGTATATGTGATGATCTATTATATACGTGTATTGTATTGATGTGTTATTACAGGTATTTGCGTATAGTAAATTGTTAATTTCATCTTTGCACAATTACGAATTACTTGATGAATAAATGAGTGGACAAGCGTTATCAATTTTGTCAGCTTTTAAACATTTAATAAATTACGACATTACAATAAAAGTAAACTAAAAATTCTGATTAATATGTACATATTTAAATATATTTTCATTACGTTTTAATAGTCAATATGCTCAATATGGAGTGCACTGTCATCGCTGATGCAATTCAGAGATCTGATGTCGGAAGAATACGTTTCTTCGATCTGCAATAAAACATTATTCGAAAATTTATATAATTAGAATGTAAATAAATTCAAAAATGAAAAAAAAGTAAAGAAAGAAAAATTGTAAGAAAGAAAAAAACACAGCAAAATAAAATTGTTTTCCTATTCCTCCTTACAAATCGCTATTCTGATTGTAATTTCGAATAAGAAAAGATAAATCACTCTTAAATGTTTAATGTTACTAACTGTTAATATCTGTGTTTTGTTTGTTTGTATTGATAAAACGGTGTTCATTTAATAAAGTGTTTTACTCATAAGATTGAAAATTGTAGATAATTTTCTCGATATTGTAAACGTTGATATGATTCATGTTTTCATTAGTATGCTCGTTGTTATTCTACATAAAAAAATTGCCGTCTTGTCGATGTGATAGATTAAGGTTTGAGTCCTCTTTGTCTCATTCATATTTAGAGATAAACGTCTTTCTCTCTCACTAACCAAATTCGTTTGCTATTGTATAAAAAAGTAATTATTTTAGTGCGTGAAAACATATTCGTATGTAATTTACTATACTTTCTCCTGTAATTTACTGGAAGTTTTTATATCACTATAATTCACACAACTTAAGATCCAGGCACAAATATTTCTCTTCAAACCAAATACAAAAACGTTTATTCACGTAATAATGACTCAAGATTGCGCTTCTTGAAAACTTAATTGTGTATATCTAAATTTTTATTGTTCGAAAATACATATAAACTTTTATGTATAAGTGTAAGAAATTATATTTGTAAATAAATTATAAAGAAAAACTTATGTAGTATTATATTTGCTCGTTTGTGGTATAATATATTCATTGATTTAATATATGAATTTTTGCACGAATGACGATAACAAGTGAAATGTGAGCAAATGTGTAAAGTTTATCAATGTAAATAAAATTCAAGTTACTCTTCTTGCAGAATATTTAGAGAGACAATAATTCTGTGTGTCTGATTTACAAAATATTTATAAGTACGAATATTTAATACACTAATGTACAATACATTATATATCAAATGTAATGGATTTAACTACAGTTTGTGATTACAATAATGGTAAAAAACTCGAGAGTAGTTTTACTAAAGTGTTAATTTGAAAACAACCCTTTTCCACAAATGGAATGTATTGCTTTTAAATGTGACTTCTATAACTGATGAAGACGACCAATTGCAGTTAATGAAACTAAAAATAAAAAAAATTTTGTATCCCCTACCAGAATGATAAAAAAATGTGATAAAAAATTCGATAAATTAAAAATATAGTAATAACTCCTGTTAATACAGGCAAAGATAACGAGAGCAAACCAGCAGTTACTATTACAAATCACACAAACGAAGGAAGCCGATCCAACCCGTCCCACTTCTTATATTAATTATAGTAGTATTAATGTTAATAGTACCTAAAATAGAAGAAACACCTGCCAAATGTGCCAAAAAATGTAAAAAAATATATTGTAAAATCCACAGAACTCACCAGCATGAGCCAAGGAAGATGATAGAAAAGCATACAATGTCCACCTAGCCCCTTCCCCCTCTCCAAAGCTGCAGAAGATGATTAAAAAAAACTCAGGAGGAAGCAAGCAAAATCTCGTATTATTCATACAAGGAAAACCCATAGCAGGAGCTCCTAACATTAAAGAAATCAATGAAGGTAATAGATTAATAGTTATAACTATAAAAAATAATAACAAAAGCATAAGCCATCACAACTACATTATAAACTGAATCATCTCTAATAAAAAAACCAGGTTCCCCTCGAACAATCGAGCTTAACGCCGTTCCTACCATAAACACAAGCAAATTAATTGCAAGAAACTATTAATTAAATTAATAAGATAATGCAATGCAACATATGCACAATATAAGGATGTTAGAGCACTTAAGAGAACTTACTAATGAGACATTAGTCTATAATTAATTAACTGATAAATGCATATATAAACCCAAACAATTTACATATGGCCAGAAATAGATATGCCAAAAAATCCGCGAAGAACAGTGCTCAATAGTTACTCCATGCAGCCAATGCTGGATTCAAGAACATCTTGGAGATTACAGAAAATAATTACTACATTTTTGTTATTAAGTAATTCTTAATTAATAACATTAATGACTTTTCTAATGTACCTTAATTGCAGATGATTTCATAAAATACGTATGTTTAATAGATGGAAAATAAGAAATAGTACAGGGATTTACCACGTGTATAAGCTTATCTATTATTTATTCTTAATGTACTCAAATCACATTGAATGCTAAGCTATGTAAAAATAATAAAAAAAAGACAAAAAGAAAAACAAAGTGGAAAGAAGACTATTGTTTTGTCATACCTCCAATAGGTTTTCCATAAAGTGATGGACAATATTCAAATAAATTTAGATAAAAATAGGACAGGAGGTTTTCAGGAAAATTCAGAAATAGTGAGTAATGATAAAAAGACACACGTGCTCCAGAAACTAAACCACTCTCACAAAAAAAAAAGAGAATAAAGTCTAATGAAATTTCAAAATTTATTCTTATTAATTGATGGTAGGAATATTATAAATTAGAGCAAAATTAATCCAAAACTATCATCGTAATTACAGATAAAAGAAATCGGCATTTCCATTAAGGTATTCCGGATTGGGTCTGCGTATCTGTAATACTTTATAACGGGCATTTATACTGATGCATTTAACTCCATTCCTCACTATTTACACATTCCACTTGTGCCCTTGACCAACCATGGTATGTATAGCTTATAAAGTTCTTTAATAATAATAATAATTACAAGAAAACAATCCTTGCCATTGTGAAGAAAGACTGGAATAAATTAAAACTTATGGTAAGGTCACTTGCTCGCCTCTCCTGACACTTAAAAAAAGGACCATTAGGAAGGTGGGTAATTTTCAATTATACTTCAATACAAAATTAAATTATAAGAAAAGCTTACAACGATAATTTTGAACTTCATATTTGTTCTGATTTTCGTAGAATAACTCGGTTGTCGAACAACGAACAACGTTTATAGAACTTTTTTGTACAGTGATGGTTTCGGTTTCGGTTGAAGATGAGAGAACGTTTTCATGTGAACTATGTATATTTATTATATATATGATGAATATAGATAAGAAAAAAGCCTTTTTCTATTTTTATTTCCAAAACAAATACATTAAATTATTGTCTGTTTGGC